AGGAGAGGAGGGGACGAGGAGGAGGAGGAGGAGGAGGAGGAGGAAAACGAGGCAAAAAACCACGAGGAGGAGGACAAGGAGGAGGAGGAGGAGGAGGAGGAGGAGGAGGAGGAGGAGGAGGAGGAGGGGAAAGACGAGAATGAAGAAAACAACAAGGAGGATCAGGGGATACAACAGAAGCGGATAGTCCAAGGGGGGGCATCATAGGTCTCCAGAGGCTCCGATCCCCATGTCTTCAACGAGTCCCGCGGGCGACTGCGCGCACTAGTCCCCCCATGGGCAAGATCGGTGGTTTCCGGGCCATGAGTCGGATCTCCAGTGGCTCGGAGCGATTCGGAGATCCCTGGAGTGCCCTCGGCGAGCCGCGGCTGCTGGAAAGCACCCCAAGACTGGAAAGCCTTGACGGAGTCTTTCAAACAACGACAAAAAACCTCGGACCTCTGCGTGAGGCACCGCGGAGATCGACGCCTGCCCCTGCCGTCGCCTCCGGGACGAGAAGGACGAGGAGGTCCAAGCGTTGCACGAGGTGTCCCTGTGCCGAGCATCCTGGCCCTTCGTCGAGGGCGACAAACACTACCAGTGCGGGGCGGCCTGGCCTGGCCGCCCGCCCCTGACGCTGGCGGGCCAACAACCGCGTTCGGCTCCCCACGCCCTGAACTTTCAAGCCTGGCCCGCAGACCGAGCCACCTGGGTGTCGGGAGGCCTCCCAGATGGGCTCCGGTCCGCGAAAATGGGGTCAGAGGATCGCGCCGCATCGCCGATGCATCGGCGATGCGGCGAGGTCCACAGACCCCATCTACGTGCTCCAACCCCGCCTGGGCGGTCTGGATATGCCCTCCAGGATAAAGGAACAGAAAAACGGCACAAACGAACGTTCGGAGGTCCGCACGAACTTGTTGGATCGGCACATGAACGCCCACTCCCGGGCGCGCCGAGCGCGCCAGGGAGGCCCAAAGCCGATCCCAGAAATCGACGAGGATCTCAGGAAGTGGGTGTTCATGCAGTTCTTGCTTCTGCTCGAAGAGCGCGGCGCCCGGAGGTCTCGAGTCTTGGGCCCTGCCCCAGGGCCGGCTTTCCATCCTGAGTCGTTCTTGAGGGCCCCGTGGCCCGGCGAGAGCACCCAGAGGCCGAGAACGACGATTTCCCCAGCAAGGCACCCCCATAGCAGCAAAAGCGAAGAGGCGTGTCGCAGAGTAGGAGGTCGGCTATAGGGGACAGGGGCGAGCGCACGGCCATGTGCACGTTACCGCGCGTCTTACCAGGGATCGTGGCCGCCTGGACCGAAAATGTAGCCGGCATGGAGGCGAGAGCACGATTCCTGGACACCTCGGGAAGATGTTCGAAGCGAAACGGCTGCCGGATCGGGCGACCTCGGGGCTGCGTGACCAGGCTTCCTCAGGCTCCCCGTCCCCCCTGTGGGACTCTCCTGTGGTCCTTTCTAATCACTACTAGAGCCCGCTAGAAGACGAAGAAGAAGAAAACGCCGTGCGTCCAGAAGGCACGTGAGCAATATTTCTATTCAGCCACATCCACAGCCTAGAGGTGAGGCAAGGCGGGCCGAAACGAGGAGCGAAAGGGGAAGTGGAGAGGAGGCACGAAGGGAGGGGACGAGGAGCGGAGGGACACGGATGGAACCCAGCAGCGAAACACTACTAGGGAGTAAACCTCCCGTCATTTTTTCACGACGCGAGCATGGGAAGCCTCGGCGGCGGCCCGTCTTCTGCGGGTGGGTTTCGGCGGCGGCCCACCCGGCACTAAAGAGCACGGCGGGAGGGAAGAGGAGGAGTAAAAGGGAACAGGAGCAGGAGGGAGGGAGGAAGAGGACGAGCAGCAGGAGAAGGAGGGAGGGAAGCGGAGGAGGAGGAGGAGGAGGAGGAGGAGGACGAGGAGGAAGGAAGAGGAGGAGCAGGGAGGAGGAAGGAGGACGAGGAGTGGGGAGGAGGGAAGAGGAGGAGGCGGAGGAGGAGGAAGTCGGGGGAGCAAGGAGGCAGGAGGGAAGAAGACGGAGGAGGAGGCCCATCCCCCGAGGCACCGCGGGCGGCCGCCGTCAGCCGCGGCCTCTGGGGGGCAGCCGCCTCCCTGCCTTGCCGGGACGGCCAGAGCCGCGGGCAGCAGCGCGCGGACAGCGGCGGAGGTCCTCGTCCCGAGGACGACGATGGTGATGGTGATGATGCTGGTGTCGACACGGCCAGACCTTTCCGCTGGCCAAAGTGTGGGACACTCGAAGGTACCCTCCCCAAGGACACACGAGAAGATCAAACAAAAACAAAAGAAATCAGGGTATCCTCCCCGACCCGACCTCGATCTGATACATCGGTCCGACCGTGATGAAGATGATCGCCATGGCGAACGCGATAATGATGATAATGATGATGATGATGCTGATGCTGATGCTGATGCTGATGCTGATGCTGATGATGATGATGATGATGATGATGATGATGATGATGATGATGATGATGATGATGATGATGATGATGATGATGATGATGGTGGTGGTGGTGGTGGTGGTGGTGGTGATGATGACGGTGACCTTCTTCCATTATGCAGACCAGAGAACGTATTTGCTGACTGGGGCGGACGGCGAGCGTCTCGAAAGCTGACGCGGCGCCACGAGGCTGATGGCGCAGCAGCCAGTCGAGAGATACGTAAAGAGGCGAGAAGGGGAGGGAGGGAGGGAGACCTGAGCCACAGTGGTTGCGGCCCGCAAAAAATACAACGATCAAAACACCCAGCAAGCAGTAATATGATTTTCTTCCACACCGCAGGCCAGAGAACGCATTTGCTCACTGAGGCCGACAGCAATCGTCTCGCCGGCATACGGGGCGCCACAAGGTTGACAGTGCAGCAGCCAAACTGGAGAGATATGTACCTGGCACATCTACGACCAGCATTAACCAGCATTTACGTTAGGAGCAAGTCTATCCATCTTCGCTTCACGCAGACCGGCGGCGGCACTTTTGACAAGCCTGGCGAAGATACGCATTCACACTGAGGGCCCGAGGCTTGCCGCGATCGTCTAGCGCAGGTGTTGGCGTGAAACAAGCGGCGGCCAGAGCATCTCCCAAAGTGACCCGTACACTGAAGCTGAACGCTGAGGGAGGGCAGCCAGACAGCCCAGACCCAAATATTTGTAGGCCGAGGATGCAGGCCACCGTACTGGCAACAAAATACTTCGACAGTTTGAGTTGCGAACGACCACCCACATGTCTGAAAGAGGAAGGAGCCGACTGAGCGGAGCCGCAAGGACACTCAACTAACATGGGGACCCTTCGGCGATGGCGACCGAGGATCACAGTGGCGAGCGCAATCCAGGACCCCCGAGAGAGAGGCGAAGGGGGCTCAGGACCCAAGGCAGGAGCGGCCCACATCCCAAGGACCAGGGAACCCCGAAGCAACCACAAGATCCTCTGGCGCACTGCGGGTCTAGACCAGTCAGACCTTGATGCTGACTGGGATGACAGAATATGGCAGCATAGCCGAATGACCACAGGCGCCGAACAATCGACCACGAGGCCGCGCCAAAGCCTATGAAGGTCGAGCGAAGCCGCAAACGAGCAGCGACCAAGGCAACAACAAGCTGGCGTGTCAGATAGACGTCCACCTGGCGTTCAGAAGTGGTTGCACGGGGCCGCGAGATAAGGCGCCCTGCCTCACCGGCACTGGCCATGGGAATGCCCTGCAGAAGGACGCCGCATCGATCAACTCGACAAGGCTCGCGCCCACCAGCTGGCCGAACGCCATCACGTCGCGGTGCAGACGGTGGATATCCTGCCTGCGGCAGCTTGGTTCTCTTCGCATACCGCCGCAGCAATCGGTGACCCACCCCCCGCGGTCTCTTCACCTCTGCCAAGGACCGCCGAGCCGCCAGCAGGTCGTCGCTGGCCGCACTGTGGCGAAGGACGGACAGCGACGGCTGCGTCTCCAGCCCCAAGTGCCCGGCCGCCTGGTTGAAGGCGTCGCGGACCTCGGGCGCGTCGAAGTCCCGCAGCGCCATGCAACCAGGACTGACGAGCTTCAGCGCCACCCACAGCGACGACCGCGCAGCCTGGTCCAATGCCACGCTCTCATCGGTGATGCCCATCTTCCCTGGACGCCAGTCCTCGCATGGTTTGGGCACCAGGCCCCGCTGGCCGCGCAGCTTCCCCGCCAGCGGGTCGGGAACCACGAAAGAGACGCCTCACAAGCGAAAGGCCTCCGAGGGGCACAGGTACCCGCGAAAGAAAGGATCACGAACAATGGGAAAGGGAGCTGGCTGAGCGAGATCATGACGCCCACGATCACCATCGCCGCGGGACGAGGGATCGGCAGGCACATACGGGCCGGCTTCAACTTCTTCCAGCCGTCCAGAGCTTTGCACGCCCTCAGCGGCGAGCCGCACGAGGACTCCAGAGCAGGTAGTAGTAGGTGCCGCACCGCAGCCGCCGCGACCCGCCCCGCGGCCGCGACGAAGCCGTCTAAGGCCAGGTATGCCAGGAAGGCCTTCAAGATAACGTCGAGCTCCTGGGCCGTCGACCACTCCAGGCTCATCCAGCGGCACCAGACAACTAGCCGCTGCGCTGGAGGCAGGTAGCGCTTGGCCGCGGTGTCGGCGAGAGCCGCCGCATCCAGGAAGCTCAGCTGCCGCGCCTCAGGTCTGTCACCGAAGCATGCGGGGCCAGCCTCTGGCGAGCCAGCGCCGCGGCGCGAGGCGGCCGCCTCGGCCGTCCACGACCCCGCGGACATTGAGCGCCTCGCTGAGAAGGTCAGGTGCAGGTTCAACGAGGCGTTCCATGATCGTCAGCACGCTCTGGGTGATCAAGAGTTTCAGGGGATATTCGAGATCTGCGGGGCATCTATCGCTTTGAGAACTCTTTGAACGATCTGGCTGGGCCCCCTGGCGTCACCGAGGTCCCCGAGGAGATCCTTGAGGAGCCCGACTGGAAGGCGGTCCACTCGAGCCGGGTGCGCACGCAGGGTGAGAGCATTATGGTATCCGAGGAGGGCGCTCTGGAGTTCGCCCTCCGTCACCTCCTGCGCTCGGGGACCCTGCGGGGGCGCCGCGTCGTCCTTTTCGTGGACAAGCTGGCTCTGGCTATTATAGTTCTGGCAAAGGCCGCCGTAGCACGGTCAACTGGGCCAGCCGACGACCCGGGCTCGATCCCCCATGCAGACTCTCTGGGGCCCAAACTGCAATGTCACACCACGATTTCTGGCCACCATGCAACATGTCACTGTAACTCGCGTCACGCTTGAGGGTGGCGCCGAACAGCTAGTTACAGTAATTAAGGTTATATGTTTTTTTGTTTTCTCTCTCTCTCTCTCTGTCTCTCTCTCTCTCTCTGTCTCTCTCTCTCTCTCTCTCTCTTTCTCTTTTTTTTCTCTCTCTCTCTCTCTCTCTCTCTCTCTCTCTCTCTCTCTATATATATATATATATATATATTGCTCTCTCTCTCTCCCTCGCTCTCTAGCAAATGCGTGGAGTTCCTGAGATGAGGACTCTGACGGGAAGATTGTAACAACGTGGATGAATTACACGATGGCAAATACGGATCAAAGGAGAAGGCGATCACGCCCTACTCAACAAAAGAGCGACGAGGACGGCCACCGGGGCATCAACGATCGCCAGCGACTCAATGCAGCAATCACGCACGCAATCAAACGACTGAGCAACCGAACGGTTGCTATCATAAATATACCATGCACTTGTGCCTGACATGTCAGACGCGGCACGGCCAACACCTCCTCATTACCCTCTCCAACCTCAAACTCCCCCTCCCCTGGCAAGGCTCGACCCTGCGGTTCACGCAATGGCGCTTCTAATGTTCGCGCGCGCAATGACCCCGCCAAGGGGAGGCACCGCGCACCTTTTTTCTGAGCATATTTGGCAAGTTCGGGCTCTCGGGTGGGGAAGTCTCGCGTGCTTGCGCGCCGGGCTTCCACCGCGAATTCCACGACGCGAATATCTTCCGTCACCGCGCCGAACGATCTGCTCTCTAATCCCCCCTGCAAGTGCAGCCTTTCACGCCCCCTTCGGACCTCCCGCCCTCGACCTCTCCTTACATTCTGCGCCCAGATGGAAAGTCGCCCGCATTGCACCCCCTTTGCGCCGCGGTGCTCGCGCCGCGTCGCTCGGACCCGTGGGATTGTTTTACCAGCAGCCCCAAGAACCAGCTGTTGAATCCTGGGCTTCCAGCGCTGACTGGCTTTGTGCGCCCGCACTCCAACGCGCGCAACGCCATGAAGCGGGCCCCTGCACGTCGATCCCCTTAATGGGCAGAGGAGGAAAGTATGTTCCACTATTTGTTTCTATTTCTTACTTTTCACGTACATTCTCATGTTTTTGCTCTAGAATTGTCGTTGCATTTGTTTGCCAGCCTCGGGAACGCAACAACGATTCACCAATTGCACGACAGGATATCGACCTGCAGTGCGTCGCTTGGACGCAGGGCGCAGGACAAAATCCTTTGAAAAATAAAGTTTCTCGACTGCCAGTTGGACCATGCCAGCCTGGCGGGAGCGAGAAAATCGAAACGACCTACAACAATAAAGCCAAGACAAGACAGGAGCGAGAACGAAGGACGGAAAGAAGGAGGAGGAGAGGAAGGGGGAGGGAGAGGGGGGACAGAGGAGGGGAAGAACAGCAACGACAAACACCCCAAAAACAACGGAAATGCAAGGGGTGCTGGCGATAAACCGTCAACCAGGTTACCTCCGGGCCATCGTAGAGCTCTAGACACGCAAAGTGCTCGGAATACGACAGGCAAGCTACTCAAGAAATGTATTGATTCAGTTTCTATACGAAGTTGATTTCGGTAAGTGTTTTGATAGTAATACTACAGACCTGAAAATCCGGCAGCCCGCCGCGCAATAACCTACTACAAGTGCAGCGAATACTAGGTATGTGTAGCTTGTTTCCTGCATGAATTAAGTTCGGAAAACCGTTATCATCTGGACAAAATGACTTATGATAGTTACGTTCCTGCTAATTTGCGAGAGCTGCGCTGCAGCTACAGCCCTGAGAATTGCACGATGGAACGCGCGATGATCGAATGCACGGAAGAAAAACTCTGAATTCACGGAAGAGGAAGCGATCCAATCTCACAACCGTCTCCCAAGACCCAAGCTTTCCAAATTGTCCAGACTGGATGGACCAACTGGGAGCCGACCGATCAGGAAGGCGAAAGCCTAAAATTCTATGAGGATGTGAAATCAAGCGCGCACCCACGACACACAGACAAGCATGGCACGAGAGAGCAACAATCACCTATCACATCATCTCAAGTCCGGAATACGCATGAACAACCCGCGGCAAGACAATAATCGCATGTTGAACGGCCGAGATCTCGGCATCAGTCACCGTCGAAGTTGGATCAATCGAGAAGGCCGCACTATACACCTCCGTCCAAAGAATCTCGCGACGGAGCCGTTGCCTCGAGACTCTTATACACGTCCAACATCTATCCAGCATCCGACTCCCACATTGTCGCAAGAGACACCACCATCGAATCCAGCTCTGATGGCACCACGCGCGAAACACCTGATCAAGCTGTGGGGCGCATGGCCCTATTCTGTCCCGATACACTGGTGGCCCACAGCGGGCCGCGTGAGTGAGTACATTTGCACGCATGTTCCACTGGGGGCCGGCGGTAAACCGTCAACCTTGGTTACCGCCTGGAACTCGCGGGGCTTCCTCGCGGAATGCGGGCGCGCCAATCTCGCATCCCGCGCACGCGAGGGCGCGGTTTCATGGAAGGAGTGGGGAGAAGAAGGAGATGGAGGAGGCCGAGGAAGAGAGGGGGCGGAAAAAGGAGCAGGCGGAGGAGAAGGATAGGGAGGACGAAGAGGGGAATGACGAGCAGGAGGGGGAAGGGTGGAGAGGGAGAGAAGAGGGGCGATCATGATGATGAAGAGAAGAAAGACGAGGAAAAGATGGAAGGGAAGGAGCAGGAGGGGACAGAGGAAAAGAAGCAGATGAAGAAGGACGAGTCATCTGAAGAAAGACATCATAACATCTAGAAAAAATTAGCAGAGTTTTCGAATCCAGCTCTGGTAACAGACCGATTTCGGGCATCTGGGTACTCGAGACTAGCGCGTCTGATGATGTTATTTCGATTGCTGTGCGCAACAGCTCTGGAGCTCATCAGCAGCTCGAGTTGCATCCATAAGCTCAACATCATCTCTGGAAAATTAGCAGAGTACGATTAGTTTTTCGAACCCAGCTCTGGTAGCAGACCGAGTTCGGGGAGTAGCGACCCTGATGATTGTCTTTCGGTTGCCGTGCCAAACAGCTCCTCTGTAGCTCATATGCAGCTCGAGTTGCATCAAGAAACTCATCGTCATCCAAAGGAAAAACAAAACAGGGTACGACTAGTTGTTCGGATCCAACCATGGTGGCAGACCGATTTTGGGCATCTAGATGCTGGAGACTAGCGCTTCTGCTGATTGTCTTTCGATTGCTGTGCCGAACAGATCTCTAGCTCATCTGCAGCTCGAGGTGCATCAGGAAAGGCATCACCACTCTGGTTGGCAAGAAAAAAGAAAGAAGAAAGAGGGGGGAAAGAAGAAGGAGAGGAAGGGAGGATACTATAATTTTTAAATTAAAAATAATGTATATAAAATATATACATAAATATATATATATATAATAAAATAACAACAAAAAGATGATAGGTTTTGGCGCCCAGCTCTGGCAGCAGACTGAGTCCGGGTATCTAGATACTTGAGACTAACGCGCCTGGTGATTCTATATAGACTAGGCGTGCCTGCCAGCTCTGTAGCTGCTCTACAGCTCGAGTTAAGTTCAGTAAACCGACAGCACCTGGCGAGATGACACTCATCAGCCGATCCCGTCGCGATGCTTTTTGGTGGTAATATGTACCCGATCGGCCCGAGATTGAGATGTCGAGGGGGAATGCGATCGAATATGGGAAGATGAAATACTAGAGCTCCAACGAATTTGAACTGGAGCCCGCGGCAAACCGTCAACCTTGGTTTTTGCTCTGCGCAGAGCCACAGGCCTGAGTTCAGGCCCGCTCGAGTAACAGCCTAACGCAGAAGGGGGGCAACAGGCCAAGCGCCTGCAGGACCGCCACCACACCATTGAGTAAGTGCTTCGCAGCAAGAAGTTCAGCCTGGGTCACTGTACACGAGGGCGGGAGACAGAGGGCTTCAGAGGCGACATCGCACCACCAGTAGCCACTCGGGGAGGCGGCGCCATCAAGATTAGTAAGATGATTGAGATGAGAGGGAAGCGATGGGAGAATGTACAGATCGAGGACCCAGCCGCCGCCGCAACCCTCAGAGGAGCGGCCTCCGTCGAAGAAGCCCCTCACACCGAGCACGCTCGAAGCATTCATTGTAAATAACCTGTCATCGATTGTCAAGTGGTCCTGGCCCCTGCGAGCCATCCAAGTCTGTTCATCAGCTCTCGTGTTCTCTTCCCGATAAATCCATTTCATCATATCACATCCCCGTGAGGGGGCCCGAATGTGTATGGGCATCTCCACAGACATAGAATAAAGTAAGTCCTGAATAGCAGATACCGTCGTCGAATACACGTCAGTAGTACATCTAAATAGACCGTTCATCCAGTTACAGATCACCAGAGAGTCCCCCGAGATTTCAGTAGGTAAACCCTTGGACCCAAAGTCCCACCAAGACTGACGCTGTTCGTTCAGTGCAATACGTTTTGTAGCCTTCTCCTTTTCCGCCTCCTCCTTCCTACGCTTCTCCTCCACCGTAAG